TGAAAAATGCTAGGCAGACAAACCACAAGGAGATTAGGAATTCCAAAGAAAGAGTGGGGGGGATTTAGGACAGAGGCATTGGAGATAGCTGTGAGGATACACAGAAAAAATCAAGGACACGTGCATATCTCTATTGCATGCCAGTAATTCCTCAGTGGGCCCCAAAGAGAGGTGGGTGAACATTACCTTTGTATGGCGAGAGGAGGCCCTTTGAAGCTTCATCCACTTTAGTCATGTTACTCACACAAAACAGAAAAGTGGAGGAGGGGAAAAACTCTACAATGCTTACTTTTAAATCTAAAGGATTTTTTAAGTTTCTTCAAATCTTTGCAAGCACATCAACAAAGTCAAATACAGGTAAATACAAAGGAATGGTTTATACAGTATGTGTGTTCAGGGGCACTCGGTAAATGCATTTTAGCTATAGTTTAATAATCAGAATGAATTTCATTTCCTTTTATTCATTCAGCCTGACAAAGTCAGACTGTCTTTTTCAAAAACTGGTCATATTTTGCATTGTCTTGCAATAGTAAATGAGTAGTGGTTAACATTTATGTTCTTGCCATCTTCAGTTGACATGATAATTGTGGTGCCCTGCAGAATTTTTTTAAACAAACAATTCATTGTTACTCACTTAAACTCATTGTGTGTATCCTTGAGGTCTAACAAATGAGTCATATGCACATAGACCATATACAGTACCAAGCAATTTTTTACACATTTTATTCTGTATGTTTATGTTTATGTCCGTGTTTACTACCATCTTCCCTGCCTTTCTTGGCTCACTGCAATGTATTGATCAGTGGAACAGTGTGACAAGATTATTAGGGCTGTGTATTGCCTCACATGTCTGTCTTTGTGTGTGTCCACAAGATAAATACAACTGGATCTCGCAGCATCTTGGAGAACAAAAACATAATGAGTAAAAAAGTGTCCCCCAGTGTCTTCAACACAGAAATGGACAAACTGTCACCTGGTTTTGCCAAGTCAGACTTCTGAAGATTCATATTAATTTCAGCTGAACTTTAACTTGCTTTTTTTTTTTTGCACAGTGAGGAATGTGGACTGTGTCCCTTATCACTTATAATCCTATCATGGTATGGCTTGACAGCCAGTGTGGTCATGAAGAATGATTACATCAAATGATAACTATTTCAGTACACATGTGGGCATATGATAATTGTGTTAAGACAGACTTGCAAGTTCTGAACATGTTCTTTAAATGCCAGTAAAACTAAATACGTATGTAACTAGCATCTGCAGCTGGGACAAGGAAAACCCCACAGACATATTATGAGTAGGTCTCGCCAAAAGTGGAGAGAATGGATCAAATTCTCGGAATAAAAAGAACTGTAATCTTATAGTCTCCTAAGTGTCGTGACATACAGTATGTCATTAAATGTGCCGCCCATTCACTCAGCCCTGATGCATTCTCAAAACATGAATGTATTTTGCAGTATATGTTTAAGACCTCATACACAAGTGGTGCGAGCACACTGCATCACTCAGAGTGCAGAAATTCATGAAGGGAGACCAGACCCTTTATTTGATTTTATCAAGAGCATGCCGGTAAAGGGTTATCAGTAGCTTTCATGGGTTAAGTTAAACTGTTTTAGCTGAAAAGGAGGCGTTCATTTAGAACTTTCTCCAAGCCGACACTGAGTCAGTCATGAGAGGTCAGAGGCCTGCAATATAAACAACCGCAGTTTAATCTCTCCCTCCCCTTTCTGTAGTAAAATAGTTAACAGGTTTAACATAGGTAAATCATTAATCCTCTGTCACTTTCATGTACAAACTTCGATGATCTTCCCCTCTACCCCACACATCTGCTGGGTGTGTTGAGTGTGAATCAGTGAAATCAGTCATCCACTGCTTCCAACATGCTGGGCCTCCTTCCAGTGAGACCAAAAAGAGGGGAGAACTGAGGGACCGGTGGTGGGAGGAGAAGGGTGTGGTGTGTGTCTGCATGTGTGCAGAACAAATAAGTATGGGACACATGAGGACAGCGGGGCTGAGGGGTGGGATAAATAAAGAAAAGAGAAAGTAATGAGTGAGGTGCAAAATGAGAAAGCAGAAAAGATAAAATGGTGGGAAAACAATCAAATAAATGCTCTGCACAGCAAAAGGCTCTTTCACCAAAGTGAGATCTTTGGCTTGTCACAGCATGACAGACAGATTGGTAAACATGCTAATGTCACTTCTGGGAACGGCTAATTATTTTTTAAAGCAGTTACTGTAAGTCTTGTCACTATTTGGAGCTGCCATCCTGCAAATGTGCTGACATATGGAGGTGAGGGCAGTGGAAAGGTGAAAGAAAAAAGGAGAAACTGAGGGTGGGAAACAGTGCTTGTATGGGAGATACAAAGATGCTGGAAAAGAGTGACAAATAAAACGAGGGAAAAGAGGAGGGTGAGAGAGCAGAGATGTGGAGGTGGCAGAGAAGTAGGGCAGATTAAGTAAGAACAGAACTGGGCAGCGTGCCAGCGTTTTCTCTCCCATTTTCATTTTCCAGTCCAGTTGCATGGAGAAAGAGCTGGAAATCCACCTCCCCAACTGAAGAGCTGAATTGGCTGAACTTGTTTAGTGACTCATTTGTCTGGTTTCTGTGGAAACATACCAAAAGAACTTTGCGACCATAAAGGCACAGGCTATACAGCCAAAGGAGTGAGATGATTACTGCCTGTCCTCTACTAAAAATAAGGCAGCACAGCTTTCTGGTGTGGATGAATCCAGCCTGGGATGACTATAGCAGAGAAATGTTGCAAAGCTGAGTTCAGCAAGGCAAAAGTATCCAGTTTTGCTTATGATGAAGCAAGTACTAAATCTTCAAGAAATAACAAAGTTGATTCTTTCACTGTTCCAGACCAGTGGCCTTTGTTAATTCAGATACACTTGGACTTGTTATTTGAAGCAGTCTCACTGACCTTGACATTCTCTGAATGAGTAACTAACTCATATTCTAGAGCAAAGGCTACAGTAAATGATTCAAACGGCAAGTGGGGCCATGCTGCTCTGTTCTGAGGTAGAAAACCTTAAAAAATACAGTAGGTATATACTAAAATATATTTCCTGTTGTATTATTGCTTATTACTATATTACTACTATTACTTATACTTTATATTTCACTTGTATTGTGTGGCATATATGTGGACGGAAAAGTAAGAATTCTTGTACAGGGAAAGACCTTTCCTAACTGTGCATATGACAAATAAACACTTTGACCTCTGACCTTCCTATTCATCTGGCATGCAGACCAGCAGACTTTAGAATGGTTTTTACAGGCTATTAAAGTGTAAGGTTTAAAATAAGATGGTAGTTTCGTCAGTACTCGGTGGAAAGTGGGACCTATAGACTCTTCAAAGCTGCAGACTCAACTCCACCCTAACTTTTCACACACCCTCCAGTCCGCAAGCTACAGGGTGGCCCGGTGTGAGTGACAAAACGAACCATCCTACATTTTCAAAAGAGACATGAGAAACCAACTAAGCTACACTTGTTACTGTTGAGAAATATGCTGTATTAAAACATGGAAACAAAAGTAAAACCTAGCCACCAGATAGGCTTGAGGTCTCGCATGTTAAGCTGCTAACACTTGGTGGATTCACCCAG